GGAGACTCTGCCTTGTGCTCTCCCGGGAGCTTGTTGTGATAATCTCTGGATCCTGGCCTTTGTTGGGGTTACACGGCAGTTGGAGGGTGTAACTGTCTAGTTACTGACAGGTCCAGTCCCAAACCGTGCAGGCTTGGAGATCTCAGCCCCGGGTCCCACACACCTGGGTTCCTCTGCCAGTTTTGTTATGTCTGAGGCTTATCCAAGTGTGTGGAGAGTGGTTAAATAAATAATTATTTATTTAATTATTATTTGTTAATTAATTAATCAATTAGTTAATTAATTAATTAGTGGTTAAATAAAGTGTTACTTTATCACTTTCCAAAAAATATTTGATCAAGAAAACCTTTTTTTTTTCTTTCTGGGTCACAACCAGCAATGCGGAGGGTTTACTCCTGGCTCATGTACTCAGGAATTGCTCCTGTCAGTGCTCGGGGGACCATATGGGATGCTGGGAATCAAAACCTGGTCAGTGCGTGCAAGGCAAATGCCCTACCTGCTGTGCTATCACTCCAGCCCCTCAAGAGAACTTTTTTTTATTATTTTTTTGGCAGAACAAACTTTGAGAAGTATTGAATGTTTATATATATATATTTCTATTAACAATATGTTTAGATTTTTCTGTTCATCTTAACAAAACTGGGACCTTGTTATATTTGATCAACCCAAGAAAGAGTGTATTCATAACTTTTGTTAACATTAAAAAATTAAAAGCAGCAAGTAGTAGATCATCTAAATGGCCACCCTAGAGCCAAGTATTATCACAAGACTTCATACCTCATTGGCTATGAGCACTGGCACTGTTACCATCATAAGTAATGCTTCTCTGATTGAAAACTCATAAGAAATGAAGTATGGAAAAGTTATGAATAATGTATTAGAACTAGATGAAAGCCAACATTCATCATGGTACACTAAAATTTTGCAGTATTTTCCACAGAGAAAAAAGTTGTCATAGGATGACTCATCTTACACCAGAACTGTAAAAAATGCTGGTCAAAATAACTTGGTCAGATGAGATGGTAGAAAATTTGTGTGGAATATAGCTTTTTATATTTCTAAAATTACATTAATTTGTATTTATATTGCTTATTTTTATTTTGTGTGTTTTATTGCTTTACTTTTTTATGTTTTTATGAATAGTTTTGGTGTGAAAAACATTAAGATACAATAAAAACAAATATTGTACTCAGTTTTATTATAAATAAGAAAATTATGGTAAAATAAGTTTTTAGCATTTTAACAGTTAACCTGCATAATCCATGGTTTAGAAAATCATCTCATTATTTTAATGTTCCATTAATCATGACTTGTAATGATTTTTATATCCTAAGTGGACTAATACACATTTATATTGACCTAATACCTTTTGATGTGATACACTAGATATCAGATTCAATAGTGTGTTCAGTTCTGACCAATGAAAGTATTTTAAACCAGTGTTGACTCAGGAGTTGGTCAAGAAATAAAGAGAATAAGTTTTTTATTCCCCACTACCTTATGATAAGCCTTTGCTAATGACATGCACATACGAGTCCCTCAAGAATACTGTTTTTATTTTTGGTTAAATTTTCTGGCTTGAGGTGATTGTATTCTACCCTGTCTGAATATTTGCTCAACATCAAAGACTTTATCCTCAAATTTTATGTTCTATGAGTAAAGGACTATGTCAGATCAAGATTTTGTAGTTTCATGACCTATAATATAGCCTAAAGCATCAACCTCTGAAGTGATTATCTGGCATTTCATAAAGTTGTAGACTTTGCCCTTGGAGAGAATATAGGGCACAGGATTTGCATAGATTTATATAAGCATATACAAACTTATATATATAAACTTATATATTTATATATGTTTAAAATCTATACATACATATACCACGTGTGTGTTATTTACATATATATATTTGTGTATATATGTGTGTGAATTTATATATCACATATTATATTTTGTATTAAATCTCTTGATGGATGATATAAGGATGAAGTTAATGCGCTTGCCTAGCATTCAATCAACCCTGGTTCAAATCCCCAGCATCATATATGGCGCAATGGACATTTGAACGGCCTGGAGTGATGCTTTGCTTACTTATAGGAGACTTGTGTGCAATCTCTTAACCTGCATCTCCTTCAGCCCCAGCACTACTCCAGGTGTTGCTTCTGAACACCACTGGATATGACCTAAACAACAAAACACACACAAAATACAACTTTCTAAAAGTGACACAAAGAATAAATTAAAATCTGATTACTCTCCTATCTGTTCAGGAAATTTCATTAGACTCAAAGAAAATCCCAGTCTCAGTTGACTTCAACTGAAAATTCTTTGAAATATGTAAAAAGAAATATGAGTCTCCTGCCCCCGCGCCTGGCTGTCTTCGCCGGGGCCCCTTGCAGGGGGGTGGGTTGAGTTTCCCTTCCCGCCCCGAGCAGAGCTCCGGCAGCCGAAGACCTCCAGAACCAGCCACCACCATGCTGAGACCACTCTACACAGGCTTGAAGGTATCAGCATAGGAACAAAGGCATGCGGGTCCCAGGGCTGAGATCTCCAAGCCTGCTCAGATTGGGGCTGAGCATCCTCCACTCAGATCCTCCATCTTCCAGTAGGCAGGGGTCACACCCACCAACTGGCCCCCTGGCGCCGTGTAATCCCATCAATGCCGTGTAATCCCATCATCAGAGACTATAAAACCCAGCTCCCGGAAGCAATTTATTATCTCATTCTTACTTTGGACAACCTGGCAGGCTACCGAATGTTACCTGCCCATATGGTAGAGTCTGGCAAACTCCCCGTGGCATACCCAATTTGCCAAATACCAGTAACAATGATGGGTCTCATTCTCCTAACCCTGAAAGAACCTTGAATATGGCACTTTTTAAAATCTCAGGGCTAGGATGAAGAAGAAATTACTGGTGCCTGCTCGAGGAATCGACAAACAACAGGATGATCGTGATCGTGATCATGATTATTATTATTTTACTGTCGTATGATAATTCAACTTAAACATGTTTGTCTTCCCGTGTTTGTCTTCCCTCCCAGGTTACAAGTTTCATAAAAGCTGGCACTGCTGACATTCACCATTGTTTTTCTAGCACAGAATGTGGCTCATTTGAGGGTGGATGTGAAGCATTTAGATTGTAACCTCCGAAAGATATTTTAGGCTGTGTTATTCAGGATTAGCATTGTTATTTCCATTAAAGAAACTATAATCAGAAGAATTTTTCCCACCATGGACAAAATTTCTTTCTTTTCTACACTAAAAGTGACATTTTAATTCAAGAGGAATGGGCAGAATGGGCACCCTGGGAATATAACAGGTTCAGATTTGAGTGGACGCTATAGAGCTAAACACCACTGGTATCAGAATCATTTGGTTGCACATCCTGGTTCTGGAGGCTACATAGATCTACTGCTTCATAATTACTCAGTGTTTTGAATTTGGGTTTTAGAGTTCTAATCTTAGTAAACATTTATGGTGTTTCTCTTTTGGGGGATGGTGGTTCTCACTGGGCAGTGGTCAGGGCTTATTCATAGCTCCGCTCCTGTGTGGTGGTGCTCAGGGGAATAGATGTTGTAGCCAAAAATCAAATCAGGATTGGCTATATGCAAGGCAAATGCTTTACTCAATGTACTATCTCTCCAACTTCTCATGGTATTTCTTATAATATATATACATAGCCCATCAAGCTACCGAGAGTATCTCATGGCAAAGCCTGGCAAGCTACCCATGACGTATTGGACATGCCAAACACAGTAACAAGTCTCACAACAGAGATGTTACTGGGTCCGCTCTTGCAAATTGATGAACAATGAGAGGACAGTGCTACAGTGATATATATATATATATATATATATATATATATATATATATATATGTGTGTGTGTGTGTGTGTGTGTCACTGTGAAATTGCAAAGTTATTCATAATTGGGTTTCAAGCATGCAATGTCTCAACACTAATCCTTTCACCAGTGTCCACTTCCCTCCGCCAATGCCCACCCCCGTGAAAATATACAATTTAAGCAACAAACTCTTCCAATATTGGAAAGAAAAATGTTATATGTGCATACTCTTTGAGAGAAAGAAAAATAAATATTACAAATATTAGACTCTTAGCCACATAGGTGATAGTATGATGATGTTAGAACCAAAGCACAGCCATTTTTGGCATGAACCAAAGTGCAACAATTTTAGTTGTTAGGAGACATTTTGTGTTTATATGTTTAATAACTGACAGTTGAACTGGGAGTGAACCCGAGACTGTATCCTGGAACCCACCCTGGAAAGAGAAATAGGAAAAGAGGAAGTAGATGGGGTAACTCCTTGCAAAACTGTTAAGAGGTACCAACCAATCTGCGTAGGAGTGGAAATAACCTGGTAGTCAGCCAATAATGTGGTTTAGGTGTAGTTAAATCCCCCTTGGAGGGGGTCGTACTCCAAGAGTCGTTCTATGGGGTGCAACCCTGGCTGGTCAGACTGTAGCAACTCTCTTTATTAAAATCTTTAAACTTCTACCGGGCGTCTTGTATTCGAATTGTGGACCCTAACATGGCAAAGAAAGAGGCAGATTATCTCTGTGTGACAGCTCTGCGGGAACATTTATTAATTGAGTCACTTGGCAAAAATATTTCTCTAGACACCAAGGAAACCAAGGACTATATATCATGCCAAAGGTTGCAAATGTATAGTCAAGTGATTTCTGTAACAGAATTAGGAAAAATGATCTGCACAGTGGGTAAGGCCAACTTAAGAGAAACATTACCAGAACCAAATGGAAGCATAATATACCACTCCTCAAGTATTTACAAGTATAATATACTATGATGATGATATCACATAACCTGGCACTCAGGCCTGGGTTTTTTTCTTGGATCCATATTATGTCTATCAACCTTCCAAATCTGTAAGTTTTCTTTGGATTATTGAAAGATGACTGGCAATTCTGTGTTCCCACCCTTACAGACAGAGGTAACGAGGTGGATGATATGCTTTGTCCTTTCAGGGGGCCCCCTGCTCTACGAGAACATCACGTTTGTATATAACTCTGAGCAACTGAACGGGACTCAGCGGGTTCTCCTAGACAATGTCCTGTCTGAAGAACAGTGCCGGGAGCTCCACAGTGTGGCCAGTGTAAGTGTGGGTCTTGACCTCACTTGAATTCCTCTAGGCGATGAGACCTGAAATTTCTTTCTTAAAACAAGAAAATGACAGTGATTGCAGGGGGCATTTTTATAGCATTTGAGTGGGAATGCATTTAGTTGGATCACAGACATAACCAGAGTATTTGAAATAGCTATGATATTAGTCTATTGACTAATTAGTCTATTTCAAATTAGTGTATTTGAAATAGGCTACTCATAGGATAATAGTCTTCTATTGCACTGATTTTATATGCCCCTCTACCATATAAAGTCATTGGGAAAAATATACTTATTTTAATCAACAAAGGGTTGATGTATTTATAATCTATACTTTCATTCTAAAAAAATGTAGTATTTTGAAATTAAAATAGAAGGCAAAACGAAATAAATATATATTTTTAGGTTGAAAGAATTTAACTAAATAGGGATTCTGAAATAAAATGGGAATAATTCTTAGTGCTGACTTTAGTTTTCAGATATGTTAGACAAAACATGTAGGCATGAAAATTTGCAGTTTCATTAACGGAGTATTTTCTTATTTTTATTTCAGGGAATTATGCTTGTGGGCGATGGATACAGAGGGAAAACTTCACCCCATACACCCAATGAAAAATTTGAAGGAGCAACTGTCCTGAAAGCACTCAAAGTAAAGTCTTAACCAGGAGTGGGTTTGGTGGGAATTAGATTTATAAAATTCCATCTGTAATTTGCTATGAATGGCACATATGGTAGAATATAGAATTATAAGAACTGTTGGAGGAAGTCAGTGTGAAATAGCACCTCTTTGGTTTTGAATATCTCTTTATTCTTGCAATCATTCATTTATCATGTATCCTGAACTTTTATCTGATAAATAATAAGCAATCCCATTTTCTTTAAGGAACTTGCAGATTACTGATGAAAACACACAGACAAGTAATTTTATACCATAAGAAATGGTATCTCTACCAGTGTCATGAGACTGGAGATGGAGTGACTTATCTAGAGTGTTTAATGTGTGTTTAGGATGATGCTTATTCCCATAGACTCACTTTAATAATTGGAAACCACAAACATGTGATTCTCACCAGCTAACACAGAGATGAACATCTCATGTTGGATTAATAAAATCTAGCATCTTCCCTCCAATGAACCCATTTTTTCTGATGTTCTTCTTTTCTTCTTAGTTTGGTTATGAAGGCCGAGTCCCATTGAAGAGTGCCCGCCTGTTTTATGATATCAGTGAGAAGGCTCGGAAGATCGTAGAATCCTATTTCATGCTGAACTCAACTCTGTATTTCTCCTATACACACATGGTCTGCCGAACAGCCCTGTCAGGTGAGACTCCAGAGGCCAAGCTGCTCTCTTTTATCCACAGTGACAAAACAGCAACAACAAAAACAACAACAACAACACAACAAAATAATACAGAATGAAACTTAGCTGTATCATAGACCAATCATCTCGGAGAATTCTTAAAACAACAACAAAAACAAAAAAGTGTACTTACTAAGTCTTATTTTTCCCTTTCTTTTTGATTTTCCCTTTCTAATTTTTGGTTCCCTAGCATTCCAGAAATCATTGTTTTGACTATTTTCCCTTCCACATCTATTTCTCCTCCTTGCTTAAATCACACAGAAAAAAAGATGCAACTTTTATTTTTTTTTAAATTTTGTTTGTCAAATTTCTCTTTAGGAGAGTCAGCCCCATTATCTTATTCCAGTTATTATTAGTACAGAAATGATAGTTCTTGTTAAGCCCAGAAACATTGAGTGTAAGCACTGAAAATGAAGGTACTTATAAAAACAAATGTTTTAAGGAGGCAATGTTATAAGAATTCCTTATAATCTACTGTCCTCATTTAATGTTTAGATCTTATGGTGCTATCTTCACCCCAATGAAGACAATTGGCACCTTTGACTTCTGTCCAGCAAAGTCATTCATAAAGAATGAATTGGAGAGAGTCTGTGACTTGTCTGAGTTACAAAGAAGCCTCAACAACCCCAAATAAAGGGATCAGCTAACCATTAGTTGGATACAATTTCTGTTCCCTCACTCTCCCTCCCTGGCTCCTGGGCTCCAGTCATGTGAGCCATTGTTTACACTAATTGACACATTAAGGCTATCAGGTTATCAGGTACATTATAGGTTATCAGATATATTAAGGTATCAGGTACTTTAACAGCAGACACATCAAGAAGGAGTGATACATTTAGAGCAAAGGCTGGGATATTTACATAGCTGTGACTATAGAGAGTTAAACAGAAGCACTGTCTGTAGCACTGTCCTCCAGTGTTCATCTTTTTGCTCGAGCGGGTGCCGGTAACGTCCTCATTGTGAAACTTCATACTGTTTTTGGCATATCGAATACGTCAGGATTAGCTTGCCAGGCTTTGCCGTGTGGCGCAATACTCTCGGTAGCTTGCTGGGGCTCTCCTCCGAGAGGGATGGAGGAATCGAACCAGAGTTGGCCTGGGTTGGCTGCATGCAAGGCAAGCAAAATTATGATGGTTGAATTTAAGCATATAATATTCTAGCACCAATCCTACCACCGGTGTCAAACTCCCTCCACCAGTGTTCCCATGTTTCTTCCTGCCTTCCTGCCTAAAACCTTTACAGGCACATTTTAAACTTTGGTGGTTGTAGTTTGTCTCTCATGTTTTCAATGTGATGGAGTTTGTGCATTGGATGTATTGCTGTACCCCTCCCCCACATGAACATTATACCCGAAGCTTCTGAACCCTGCTTCCCTGTTACTCCCTATCTCATATTCTTCCTTACCCTCTAGATTTCTTTCCTTCTCTGTCCTTTAATATATAGTATTGAAGTCAGGATAATCCCGTCCCCTGCCTGGGCCTTACATTTGCAGCCCTTATTGTCTAAACTAAAATTTAAAGTCAGTGCAATCTCCTATTCTATTTCTGCCTGGAACCACATTTGCAGCTAAATTTGTTTTACCCAGGAGACTATCCTGACCTTGGGATGATTTCCCACACTTATTTATACCTTCCTGAATAAGAGGAGTGATAAAATATCCTAGCAGTAGACATTTATTCTTGAGAGGGTTCAGGTGAAGCGAATATTTTTTATTTTAACATTTTAATTTTATCTCATTTTTTTCTACCTTCATGCATCCCCGAAATTTGTGGATTTTATTAGATTATTATTTTGACTATGGGTTTATTTATTTATTAACAAATGTATACATTTATTATGCAAGAGATTCTGGTAGTTGAGAAGGCAGGTGTGATTTTTCCATAATTTTTTCATCAAATTTATATCAACACATGGCCAGAGAATTTACACTGGTCACCCAGTGTTTTCATGTATTCTGCTCTGCATATGCCTCAGATTTGCGATGGGAAACAGGCACAGGTGGTGTTGTGTAATCAGTTTTGCTATTAAAGGTACCTGCCCTCCATCCTTTTCACTTTTCCCTATTCCCTTTTCTGACAGGTCAACAGGATAGAAGAAATGACCTCAGTCATCCTATCCATGCTGACAACTGCCTTTTGGATCCAGAAGCCAATGAATGCTGGAAGGAGCCCCCTGCTTATACATTCCGGGACTATAGGTACAGCCATCAGCACTTTCAGTATCAGGATTTTTGCCCAAAAGTTGTCAATTAAACTATGAAAACTAGAAAGCTGGTCCGTTTTCCTGTCAACACATTCATTTCTGTGAAACAGAGATTCTTAAAGCATCCTCTGAAGCAGTCGCCACACACAAAAGCAACTTTATCCTCTCCTTTGATATTTTTTTTATCAAAACCATCTATGCCTATTATCTTGCGTTTTCATCTTTAAAAAAGTCAAGTTTTTTTTGTTTTATAGAAAAATGAGGTTTATTTTCATCTTCTTTGCTTTCACTGGAATCTGTCCCTTGTGGTACATATCTCTCCATCTAAGAACTCTATGGCTCAAACTATATATGGATCTTATCACAACATTGTGTGCTGTCTACATTTTATTAACAAGCAGCTGAAAACTCAAGAGAAAACAAAAGTCCTCTACTTGAAAAATACTTTAGTGATTTAGGAGAATCAGGAGCTGTGGTCACCATTATGTGCAATGGTTGTCATCATTCCTCCACTGTACCCAGTACAAAGTATTCATGAACACTGCTATTTGCAAAGGCTAGATGCTGCCTGTTGGAGCTCTCCTGTTAGGGGAGAAATCTAATGTTTAGAGTTACTAATAAACAAAACAGTGTGAACCATGTGGACAAGTTCAAATATCTAGATTATATCTGGTTCTCTTTCCTGTGAAGGAAGCACAGTGTGAGATGAAGAGAGCAGAGTGATCATATAGCCAGTAGGGCACTTGCTTTACACGTGGTGGACCCGGGTAAGATTCCCAGCATCCCATGTAGTCCCCAAAGTACTACCATGGGTAACTGCTGAGTGCAAATCCAGGAGTGACCCCTGAGCATTTCTGGGTGTGGCCCAAGAACAACCCCTACAAAAAAGTGAGATGAACATTGAAATATAATAATTTAATATAAAAATAATAGATACTTTAGGGGTATATTCCAAATTCCATCTGATGCTGTACAGAATAGGGTGAGCTATTTTAGTATCCAGTTGAAAGATAAGTTATTAATCAGGCTGATCAGTTCATTAGCAGTTTTCAGTGTTTCATCATGCTGGAGGCATGTAATCATACAAACAAGTTTCCTCCTCTTATTTAGTGCACTTCTCTACATGAATGATGACTTTGAAGGAGGAGAATTTATATTCACTGAGATGGATGCCAAGACTGTGACTGTAAGTAAACTTTTTCTAGTATCTTTATTCTGCTTAAAAAATACAACCCAGTCTTATTGGTTTTGCAAGTCTTATCACACAAAATGGTTACAGATGGTTAGATTTCAAATATTTCTGGATCTTTGAAATAATTGAGGTAGAATATAAGTAAATGTATATATAAAAACCTAGGAGTTATCCATAAAATTTTTCTAGTCTGTTTTGCAAGGCTAGATTGTGCCTGTTGGAGACCTCGTATTAGGGGAGAAATCTAATGTTTAGAGTTACTAATATAAAAGAAACTGAGTTGTGAGTCATGTAGCCACTAAAAATCTTAAAAGCAATTTTAAGAATAGAGATACTGAGAATTTTCTCGTTGCTAATTAGTATTCGGAATCAGAATTTTGGTCTTCTAATTATTTATTAGGTAATTTGATAAAAACAAACAAACAAAAACATCACATTTTGGCTGGAGAGATAGTACAGCAGGTAAGGTGCTTGCCTTGCATGGGGATCTACCCGGGTTCTATCCCTAGCAAACTGTGTACAGAGCCAGGAGTAATCCCTGAGCACTGCAAACAAACAACCTCCCCACAAGACCACTAATTCTTAAGTAATCCAAACCTAAGAAAAGTCAAATGATCCCTTAATAGTTCAAGTAAATTGATCTCTGTACTTCTTTTAGTCATGTATTCCAGAACCCTATTTACCAAAATTATAAATATATGTTTGTTTGTGTACACAAGCATGCATGTACATATAATGTGGCTAATTTAAATGAACTTATACTTTCAATTTAATAAGCAATTGGTCCACAAACAACATGGATTTAACTGGATTCACATGTATGTGGAATTTGGGGGAGGAGAGTACTCACCTGTGCCCAGGGCTTACTCTTGGCTTTCTGCTCGAGGATCTGTCCTGGCGATGACTGGGGGACCATATATGGTACCAGAGATAAAACTCGAGGTCATCAGTGCAAGGCAAGTGCCTTAACCCCTATAATATCTCTCTTCAGCCTCTGTATGTGGGTTAATATCTGTCTTCAGGTTTCACACTTAAAGACTTAACCAACTTAAAATGTAGGTTGGTTGAATTCTCAGATATGGAACTCATATCTATTGAGGCCTCTCCATACAATTTTCAACTGCTAAGACAACTGATACCCCTGAAGCCCCCTTTTGTATAGGGCTCAAAGGAATACACATATATGGGTGTATATGTGTGTGTGCTTTGTGTAAAATTCTAACTACTCTTTCATAAGTAAAAGGCAAAAGTTAAAAATTCAGCCACCATTTGTTAAGCAAAGTAGTGGTTTTGGAAAAGAAGCCCTTACAGATCTTTTGAAATTCTCTTGTCTAAAAATAAGATTTCCAATTTATAATGCAATTGACTCATAAATATATTGAGATCTTTTTATTTTTAATACAGAATTTAAATAGTTGTGGCATGAATGAAATAAATGATAAGAATTACTTCTTTAGAGCCCACCCAAGAGATAGCTCAATGCGCCTTACACATGCTTTGCATATGGGAGGCCTGAATTTAGTTCCTGATACCACTTCTGTCTCCCAGTACCACCTGGAGCAACTTCTTTGAGCACAAAATGGGGCTGCAGCCCTTGAGCACTGCTGGGTGTTGTCCCCAAAAGAAAAAAATCCAAAGCAGCAACAACAAAGAACTTTATGTCTATGTTATTTCCACAAACATTCTTGATTTTTGTTTTCCCTTTATACATTACACTCTTTTTTCAACGGTAAAATTTCCATATAAAGGATGCTTTTGGATTGGCACATGAGATTAAGAACAACAAAAACTGCGAACTACTGGTTTAAAAATGCAACCCAATAGGGATTTTAATGAACATTTTCCAGAAACTTTGTTAAAAGTAACAAAAATATTTTGTACAATGTAATACAGTAATGTATATAAAGACACCCTGTAGCTCTTGTAAAAAAAAGTGTTAATATGAGTGTATTTTGATGCTGCATTATATGGGAAATTAAATCAAGATTGATAGCCTAGATTGGAGCTTAAAGTTCCTATACAAAATTCTCGTTTTTGAAGAGTCTCTATGTGGAAATCATTTGACTCCTAAGCTCTGTTGACACCTTAAATATTTAAAAATGAATGCAAGAAAATCAGACTGGTGTTTGAAAAGATTTCTTTACTTTTCTGCCATCTAGTGGCGATATTTGCAAATGTTATATGTCTAAAAGTAATTTCCAAAATCATGGTACAGTGTGTGAATCAGTATTTCACTCATTACTGAATGTAAGTTAACTGGAAATCTGCCCTTTAAAAAGTATAAAATCAGATGATACTCCCATTTTACATACTTTTATATTTTCAAGATTTTTTAAGTATTTAAAAACTTACTGAACACCAAACCACCTCTCCACATAAAAAAGCAAATGAAAACTGATTTTCTGATTAAACTGAAAAGCTCCAAGTTCAAATATTTCGTTTTACAAATTAGTTCCACATCATCAATGATGGTACTTCTAGGGAAATTTTATGGTTAATAAAAATTCTCATGTTACTATTCCCAAGTGAGATAAATGGATACAGAGACAAATGAAGCAGGGAAATGATTCCACAATAGGGGTGGGGTAAAAAAACTACTAAAATCCTCGACTTTGGAAAAATATGGAAATTGTATAATTAGCCAAATGGTGACAGAAGATTTACATTTGTTAAAAAAAAGTCTAACACCAGTACTTCTCTGACTTAATCTTCAGTTCTGTGGGAGGAAGCAAAGGAACCAAAGGAGATAGTCTGTCATCATACTTGGAAGATTTATGGATTATTTTCAACAGAAGCATTTATTTGCAAAATTGAGTATTTAGGGACTTTGGGTTCTCTTGTGCAATTTTGAAAAAGATAAAATTTAATGAGTCCCGTTGGTATCCTGAAAAGTTAAATTCATTGTAGTGGAAAAATGTTTCCAATATGTTTATGATCATTTGTCTAAATTTCAGAACCTATTTTTCCATGGAGACTCTGTCATAAATAGAGATTGTTTATGGCTGAAAGTGGCTAATATACGGCAGGTTATGCCCTCCTCATGATCAGTCAGTTACTCATTCATTTATTTATTTTTGGCTTTGGAACAAGTCAAAGTCTGTGCTCATGGCTTACTCCTTATTTTCTGCTCGGAAATCACCCCTGGTATGTCGCAGGGGACCAGATGGTGCCAGGGACCAAACCTAGATTGGCTATGTGCAAGGCAGGAGTCCTCCCCACTGCACTACCTCTTCAGCCCATCCTCCTAATCAACCCTAGAGACCTTGTGAACCCAACCAGCAATAACTGATCCCATCCACTTCAGTCAATGGATCACTTATTTTCCTAATGATGTTACTTCAGCTTGGTAAAGTTGCTAAAAAAATTAAAGCAAATTTCTGTGCCAGGAAAAACCAAGTTGAAAATTATATATATGTTTTTTGCTAGGACCTGAATTTGATCCTAGGCACTGTATGGTACCCAAAGAATGTTAAGGTGAGAGGGGGAAAGGAGGAGGAGGAGGAGCAGGAGGAGGAGGAGGAGGAGGAGGAGGAGGAGGAGGAAGAGAAGGAGGAGGAGGAGAAGGAGGAGGAGGAGGAGGAGAAGGAGGAGGAGGAGGAAGAGGAGGAGGAGGAAGAGGACTCTTTTTAGCAAAGATAAATCATTTAATCATTTCTCAGTTATTGTAGCCAAAGAATAACCTCTTTTCTATTAAAAGAATTACCTCTTTTCTATTAAGACTCAACACACACACACACACACAAACACACACACACACAAACACACACATACAGACACCAATCTCAGACTTTAACTTCTACACATTTGATCTTCAACATGTAAGTCAAAATCTGAGTGTAACTACATTATATACTATTCTAAGACTTTAGGAAATTTTCCAAGTAGTTTTTCCTTATTGGCAGTGAAAAATGCAAAATCTTGTTGGTACCTTAAGGCAATTCAGAAAGAAGATAGAGTAAGCCTACCTTATTACAGAGAAGAATGTCTTGTTCCACTTTTTTGCTTTTCTAAATGTTGATGACCTCTTTACTCAAATGACTAGGGTTCCCCTGTACCTTTAAGCAATATTTCTTTGTTTAAACTCACTTGCCTTGGAGCATGTACTACCAAGTGATATATGATCCAATACCCTGGCCTAGAGCTGCCAGCAATATCTCTTCTCCTTTCTACCATCTTCTACCAAGACTTTTGATAAAATGGAAATGAATGGAAAGTTCTTCTTGAGCAATGCAGCTTCTTGGAAGAACTCTAAATCATTTCAGAACCCCTGCCATCAAGGAATGAGTCACTCCAAATGGTACTGTGCACACATCACTGGAGATATTTAAGCATTGTTGGGGGAACTTTTGCTTTGTGAAAAATACACGAGGCATACATGTACTGTTAAGGTCTTAGAAAATGGGCCACTATGGAGAAACCCATTACCTTCATCAGTAAACAAATTGAATAGCATTCTAGATATTCCGTTGGTTACTTTTATCACTTCACAAACACTAAATCTACATCTCCTGCATGTAGAGAAATGAACTGAAGACTTTCCCCAATTGCCATATGCATGAAATAGTCCATCTACTTTGCCTGGATAATTTTATTTTTCTGAACTAGATCTTTATTTTATGGATAAGAAAATTTTAAAGAATCTGTGTCTTCTACCCCAGAATTACTGTTTTTAATGTTTAAAACCATCAAAATAATCTCATAGGAGGGAAGAGACAGGAGACAAATAATCAGATACTGGAATTGAAAATCTAATTTGTGTCTTGTTCTTTCTTAGGCCTCTATAAAACCAAAGTGTGGACGGATGATTAGTTTCTCATCTGGAGGCGAGAACCCACACGGAGTGAAGGCAGTCACTAAGGGCCAGAGATGTGCTGTGGCTCTGTGGTTTACCTTGGACCCTTTATACAGAGAATTGGTGAGTTTTCTCTCCACTCAGGCAGGTCATGTGTATTCATATCAATGCCCAATATGCTTTTTGAGCAGATTTATGTAAAAGCCACTTAGATATTTCTGTAATTCCACTGCAGTCTTAGAGATCATTCAAAACAACTTTATCAGTTATTCTTCCAAGGTCTCCAATAATGGCTTTGTGTTCTGTTTTTAAATTTAAATTTTTGTTTTTAGAATCACATCTGGTATTGCTCAAGACTTATTCTTGGTTCTATGCTCAGGGATCACTCAGGAATTATCAGTGGTGCTGGAATCCAGCTGGGGTCAGCCACATGTAATGACATAAACCTTAACCCCTGTTATATTTCTCCAGTTTCAAATAGCTTTGTTTTCTAAGCAAGAACAAATTTTCCCTATGAGAGTCATAATGAAAAAGGTTACATATCTATCTGTAGTATAAGTCTGCAGGAAGGAAGAGAATGGTAGAAAGACAATTCTTAATCAAATAGGTTTTAATAAGTAAAATGTTTGTAGAAAAGATATACCAGTGATATATATCTGTTGCACCAGGCTTGAGTTTATTAACAGACTGTAGCATTGAGAGAGGAAAACCAATTTCTTCTAGTCAGTAATAAGACTAACTTGTTTTCTTAATAAATCTATGAAAAGAGTAATAAATAATTTATGAAATATTAGCTGAAGATTGTCGAAAACCTGAAAAGTCATTATTACTATCTTAAATTAAGACTATTTGCAAGCCCTTGTTTTTCAATACCATATACTATATAGTATATATTAGAAGTATATTACTTCTAATTATTAAATAAAATATTAAGTGTTTATTTATTTACCTAATTTGGTTTATAGCTACACCCATCAGTGCTTAGGGCCTACTCCTGGTTCTGCAGTCAGGGATCACTCCTGGCAGGTCTTGGAGAACTATATGAGATGCTGAGGATAGTATGTCTGGGTGCAAGGCAAGCATGCTACCTGCTGTACTACTGCTCCATCCCCAAATATTAAATGTATTCATATTTAATATTAGCTGATGACACCTGGCATGGATGAGAGAACAGGATTTCATTCTTCTGCATACCTTTGGGCAGAGGTGATGTCTGCAGGCAAAACTATATAGAGTTGGAAAAAGAACACTGGCCCCAAACTCTTAGACCTTAGCATAACTCTTTGGACTTAACATAAGAAATGGCTTTCAGACAATCACCATGGTTTGAAATCCTTCTTGGGAAGTGACCAGCTCCATTCAAAGACTTGCCATCAAGTTTTGCCTTTGAATCTCTAAAATGAGCACATTTTATATGAACTTTATAGCATTGTAGCACTGAAGCACTGTCTTGCTCAAGCAGGCACCAGTAATGTCTTCATTGTGAGAATTGTTGTTACTTTTTTTGGCATATCGAATACACCACGGGGAGCTTGCCAGGCTCTGCCATGGGGGTGGGATACTCTTGGTAGCTTGCCGGGCTCTCCGAGAGGGATGGAAGAATCAAATCCAGGTCAGCCATGTGCAAGGCAAATGCCCTACCTGCTGTGCTATCATTCCAGCCCGTAAAACTTAATAATTACTATTTATTTCATATTTTTTGCCATCCAAATGAATACATTTTGTTTGTTTGTTTGTTTTTTCTTTTTGGGTCACACCAGGAGATACACAGTGGTTACTCCTGGATTTGCACTCAGGAATTACTGCTGTGGTGCCTGAAGACTATATGGGATGCTGGGAATCAAACCTGGGTTGGCTGTTTGCAAGGCAAACGCCCTACCTGCTGTACTATTGCTCCAGCCCCTGAATACTTTTTTTAGACATATTCCTTAAGTATTCATATCCATAACCTATGATTCTAGAAGAAATATTTTGACCAGGTCATTTTGCTAGGAAGATCCTAGAGGCACAGGATGAGCAAACGAATTCTAACCTTGAAGGCTTTGGAAATGTCAACAAGAAATAGAAAGGGAATCAAAGAAGAAATAAATATACAGTCCAAAAAGAGATGATAGGCGCAGAACGAAGAGTGGTTGTGACAGAGAGAACCAGGCACATTGTGATCTGAAAAGCTCAAGGGACACTTCAAATGACATTGCTCTCTTTTCTTGTGAATTCACACATCCAGTGTTTGACCATAGCACAAGCTTTCTGCGCTAAAGGACCGCTAAAGGACCCAGGAAATGAGTAGGCAGTGATAATGACAAATTGCTGGGAGGATGGGGGGGCGGGCGGGTGGGGGGGGGGGTGGAGACCTTTTCTCTCATTAGTATTAAGTTGAGGAGAATTCATCTGTTTCAGACTTTCAATTCAAATGACATTGAATCCTATCCCCAGCTTTCAAAGTATTTTCTAAACAAATAAGTGAATAGAAAGTAAATTTCCTTTGCGCCTTTCTATTCAGAAAACGGTGATGCTTTTAAGTCCTCTCCTAGGAAAGAATTACAAAATACTTCCAGATAGTAAACTATCTCCAGACAGTAGCGGCATCTAGTGGCCATAGAAGAAAATAACAGAAGCTTCTTGAAAACTAGAAAATTTCAGCTGTGCTGATTCCCAGACTTTGGTCCACATTGGAATCACCTGGGTATATTCACATATTAGTGACTACTATTCTCACTCTGAGAAATGCTGATTTCACAGAATCTGATTTTATGTGAGTATCGAGGGTTATAAAAGTTCTTGTGGTCTTTCTACATGCAACAAAGGTCGAGAGTCCGTACTTACGTCCCTTCTTTTAGAGTGAATTACTGAGCATAGAAAGCTAGCCTATGAAGTCACCAAAGTTAGGAGTCTTCTGTGCGTGCTATCAATTATTTCAAAGCATCCACGTCTCAAGGTGCATTTAGCGTTATGAACTCTTAAAGATATACAGTACTAGAATTTGCTAGCACAGAGGGTAGGGCGTTTGTCTTGCGTGTGGCAGAGACAGGCCCACTTGAGCAAATGATGAACAACGGGAAGACAGTGACAGTGACAGTTTCTAGTCAAGTCCCATGTCTTGACTTTGCTTCCAGGTAAGTCATAGTTGCGGCAATTTCCCTTAACCATCCCGTTTGAAAGGTTATATATATGTTCTTTGGGTAAGCCACCGAAAATTTAAATATTATTTTTATTTAAAATAATAAAATTATTTTATTTATTAATAATTTTTAATAAATAAAATTATGTATTATTTTATAAATAATACAAAGAGCAATGATAAGCAAGCATTTTACTTACCCATAATAATAGTGTTTTGACTTTTGTTTCTTAAAACATTTTTTTGACTTGTATTTATGTTAACATTTTTTTTCAATTAAAAGTTTTTGAGCAAAAGAGATTTGGTTTGAAAACCCTAAGATACTGAATTTCATAAATGAACTGCTGCCCAGTCATTGAGTGAAGGACCATCTCTACAGGATACAAATAGGATGAAATATGTATTTTTAAGATACTGGAAGTCAAAGTTAAAAGATAATATAGAAGCCTGGGTAATTCAAAACAAGAAAATTAAGCTAGATAATCAATATTAGGGGAAAATACTTGATGTTTGGAAACTATAAGAAGGAATGAGGGAAACCTACGTTCAGAAGAAACATTTGGCATGAGCCTTAAATGATGGGAATACTTTTCCTTTTTCTTTCCCTGGCCACAGTCAAAAGTGCTCATGTGCTACTCACGGCACATTGCTCAGGGATTACTTCCAGTCTTGCGCAGATTGCCAGGGGTTGAAGTCACGCCTCCCACATGCACAACGTGTGCTCTACCACTCCAAACTAGACACAGAATGATTCCAGTCTGAGATTTTTTTCTTTCTTTTTTTTTGGGGGGGGGGTGTCACAGCAGGAGATGCACAGGGGTTATTCCTGGCTCTGCCCTCAGTAATTACTCCTAGCAGTACTCCAGGGATGCTGGGAATCGAACTCGGGTCGGCCGCATGCAAGGCAGACACTCTACCCGCTGTGCTATAGCTCCAGCCCCTGAGATTTTTTCTTTAGGGAGAAACCTATTTGCCAGAAAGAACTTTGATATATTTGATAGGACCCTTGCCAAAAGTCAGTAGTTTTTCGGGGATTAGAAATTCAGAGAGAGAAGCCCTTCTTTCATTTATTTATTTATAGTCTCTTTTTAAAAAAATAATTTTTTTTTATTGAATCACCGTGTCACCGTGAGATCCAGTTACAAAGCTTTCATGATTGGAGTTTGAGTCATACAATAATCCAACACTCATCCCTCTGCCAGTGTACATTTCCCACCATCAATATCCCCCATATCCCTCCTGCCAACCCCCCACCCTAAGCCTCCCCCTACAGCAGGATCTCTCTCTCTCTCTCTCTCTCTCTCTCTCTCTCTCTCTCTCTCTCGCCCTCTCTCTCTCCTTTTGGGTATTATCATTTGCAATACAGATACTGAGAGGCCATCTTGTTTGGTCATTTGCCTACTTCCAATCATTGTAATAATGGTCCCTTCTCTCCCCCATTCCTTGAGACAGGCTTCCAACCATGGACCAACCATATCCATGTCCAACCAAGTCCAACCATGGTCTTCCAACCATAGACCATATGTCCTGGCCCTTATCTTAAGCCTTTCTTTCATGGAACTTTCCTTATAGTGGATGAAGAACAACAATAAAATAAATAAATATTCAGAGAATCTTCTAGTAGTGCTAAATCGTGCTTAGAAAAATATGCTTGGTTAATAAAAGACATTCTTTGTAAAAACAACAATGAGAGGCCTGAACTATAGTGTAGTAGGTAGAACTTTTTCTTGAACCTGGGCAAGCTGGATTCAATCCCTGATATTCCATATGGTCCCCCAAACACCACCAGGAGTAATTACTTTTCTTTTTAATTTTTGGGTCACTTCTGGCAATGCACAGGGGTTACTCCTGGTTCCTGCAATCAGGAATTACTTGTGGTGCTTGGAGGAGCATATGGGATGCTGGGAATCAAACCCGGGTTGGCCGCATGCAAGGCAAACGCCCTACACACTGTACTACCGCTCCAGCCCCAGACTCCTGGGAACAGAGCAAGGAGTAATCC